CGTGCCGTCACATTTACTGGCCATGTTCGAAGCTCTAAGTGAGGCCTCAATCAAAGTTCCATATATAGCAAAAATAATATATATACTGTAGAACATGATATATTAAGAATAGTACCTTTTTGATCAACTCTAAGATCATTTTCAATATTAATATCAAGTGCAGGACCTTGATCAACTACCGGTACCGCATTACCGGAAGGCACGCGTGATTCTTTTGTAATAAATCTATCCATTGCTCCTTTCTGGAATTGAGTTAACTCCTCAATTCTTTGTTTCTTCTTACGCTTTTGGGAACCGGAATCAAACTTTCTAATTCGATTTGAAGAAGACATGCTTCAAAAAATGAAAAGAATAAAATTAAAATTACACAAACACTAGCAGTTCATTCATGTCCTTTCATACATAGAGGGAATAAAAAAAATTAACATTACCTTGCTGGACTCCCGCACTGCAGGCGCAGATCGCAGGGGCCTCCCGTCAGCCGGTTTGCTTTCCTTGCTTGTGCTAAATTGCTAATCGTCTAATGGCTAATCTAAGTGGCGTCCGTCGGCCGGGATACGAGAAGACGAACTACGAAGCGTTGCGAGGGCTGCGGAGAGGAGCTTGACGATCGCCTGTGCCTAAACTAACCCTATATACTTAAGGGCTTCTACTAATGGGCTTATTTTTTGAGGCCCCAAAATTTTGGAGGCCCTGTACCGATGTACAGCCTGCACGCCCTCGTGCACGGCCCTGACTCGGAACAATTATTGCAAAAATGGAACATGGGTTTTAATATGGGATACCATACCTGATAAAATAAACCTAGTAAATTGATCGATCAGGCTAAGGGAGTCGGTTGGTCGAGCATAACAGTAAGGAGGCAGTCAGTGGTCTAACGCCATCAACGTCGAACCAGGGGTCTTCGGATTGAGGACAACACTAGAGATACAGGAAGGCAACGACAGGTCGAGCTAGGACCTCCAGATGACATGAGAGAAAACTCGACTTGTAAATTTGATTGGTCGTACGATCGACCAGAATGAACACCGTGGACTCGAGGCAACCAACATTCTACCTCAACGGAATGAGAACCGAACACATCAGGAGGTGGTTTAATATGAGAGTTTAAAGGATAAGAAAGAATTTTTATGGTAATTAATGTAACACATGGGTTAGGCTACTTTTCACTGTCTGGTTGGTCCACGCCTCATTACCGTTTTGGGCAGCATGTGTTGTACTATCGTGCAGTTCGAGCAGTTTGGGGCAACCCATTCGGGCAGTAATAGGCAACAAGGTATCATTTAGGAAGAGATGTATTTCAATTGTCACATTATATTATCTATTATTCTATTTTCTGCATTTGATCTTCTACAAGTGTTCATTTAAGCAATAGTGACTTTTTCCCGAAAACCCCTCTGGTGTGAGAATTTTTAAAGGTTAGCACACGATTTACCGACGAAAAAACTCGAGCTCAAGCCGATTCCACCCGGTTCGAGGTCTTTTGCTCACCAAGTTTTTACTTGCAACATTTTTTGTTGATTCTTTCAATGAAAAATTTCAAAACTGAAAAGCAACATGTGTTTTGTTTAACAAAATTAACATGATTTAATTGTAGTAGTCAATGTTATTTATCAAATATGCTCCCCGTTTTAGACCACGGAGTCATCGATTTACTCATCAGATTATTGAGACAACTGTGAAATTAAATAATTAATTTTCAAAATGTAGAAATTATACATATACACTCTTCTTATAAATATACACTAGTACAACACCCGTGTATTACACGGGTGGTGTTTGTTAAAAAATTATTCTTAAATTTTAAAATTAATGAGAAAACTAAATTATATTTTTACCAAAAAAATATATTAATATATATTTTAGAATGATATGTGTTACTTATGACTTACATGTATTATATTGTATTAGTTGTTATAACTTATATCATATAACTACTTGAAATATAAATATATTAGTTGATAA